AAGTATATCGACTGATGTCGTTATACTACTTCTGTGAAGAAGACGTTTAGAGTTTTATACATCTGCATTTCGTGTGGTGAGTGAGGAAGCCGGAGCCCACTGTATTAAAAGGTGGCAAACGCATCTGCAACCCAACGCGTGTAGCAAAAGTCAGTGGGCGGCGGTTATCGCTTACCATTAGGTGAACCTCCAGCTCGTTTGCCACCTTCTCACAAAAAATACACAGAACATACACATTTTAAAAGTGTGACCTTCAATACTGTGTAAAAGACTAAATTATTGTCACAAAAATAATATGATTAAATCATGCAGAACCAAAAAAACTTAAGAGCCACAACATCACTCCATGATGAGGTCATTCTAATGCTTGCTTCCTTCAGTTCGTAGGATCCTGTTCTATAATTGTTTTTAAAAGCAAATGTCGAAAAATCTTATAACAGAGTCGTTAAAAAAGTGTGAAAAATATTACATTAAAAACACACGACAAACACTTTACGTGTTTTTAATGAAAACTACAATCTGACCAGGACAGAATCATATTGTCACAGGCATAATGAATCTATCATCAATTTATAACACACAAGTAATTAGGGCAAGATCGCATAGGTTACTACCGAGGTAGCACGAACATAGTCTATGACTACATAACTGTCCACCATCAGATGGCGCGTTAATCAAGTGCTAATCGATAAAACCAATTTATCACCTTGGCTGGCTTTATTGGTAGGCTGTTGGCTCTGATGATAATATTTGAGTCGAGTAAAGTAAAAAAGACAAGGATCAAGGGCGATCGCGATGCTAAAGCCATTAGCAGTATGATTGCGAAGTAATTGCCCGCGAGGATTGAGCACTCAATAATGGCTCTTCCAGGGTATTGATAGATTGCTTCGGTAAGGAAAGGCGTTGCAAATTGCATATTAATATAAACAACGTCTGCAAATTGAAAGAATAGATTTAAACTGGAAAATATGATTAATCTTCCCCCCGTTCCGGCTTTAAATATTAATCAATTGTATTGAGTTGTCACAAATTTAAAATATACCTCAAAGAATGAAATGCCCTGATACCCTATGTACAGAGGAGGCCTGTGCCCAGCAGTGGGACGTATATAGGTAGTCACTTTACTCTAATTTTTCATAGAATGATGGCATAAATTCGCATGTTCATGATGGAGGATGATTTATGCTATAGGGAATCATGACATTGGCCGAGAGTTAGTCTGAACAAAAATGGCAAGAGAACGACTTAGTGACCGTATTTATATGGAAGTAACTGAGGTACGCTGGTGTAAATTAATAGTACTCGTTAGTCGAGTATAATTATGTGTGCAATAAAATGGATTTTCAAGATGCTAATAATTAGGATTGCGAAAAGTGAAAATCCATACTCGTCGTATCAGATTGGCGGAAATACGGAAAATAACTTTAAACTATGTCCAAAAAGACAGCTAAAGTCTTTTATAGAAGCATAGCAAAACAGCGAATCGTGGGCGACAAAATGCGTAAATTTTATAAATTGTCACGATTTAATTGGTTAATTTAAACTGTCATCACATATCAAAAAATGTAGCTGCAATTAAGACCAAATCTCTTGGAACGTGTCTTCATTCATTTATACAATACTAGCGACTCGCCCCGGCTTCGCACGGGTGTAATGTATTATACATATAAACCTCCTTCGAATCACTAATGAAAAAAAAATGAAAAAAAAAAAAAAAACAGTGTCAAGATGCGTTGCGTAGTTTTAAAGCTTTAAGTATACATAGGGATACAGACAGACAGCGGGATGACTTTGTTTTATACCATGTAGTGAAACAACACAATGCAAATTATTTTCATATATTCTATCGGGCATATGACGTCACGTTCACATGATTGGTACGTACTTCAGACGAGAGAAGCGGCGTCACGGTGTCGCCAATGTAACATGAATTGTTCTCGACCTTAACCTTTAATGTGATTTTATGGCTTATTTAATCAAAGCATGACTTTCAGGGTGTCCTGTAACCTTGATTAGTATCTAAGCTTTAACGGTGATTGGTAAGAAAACCAAATTGTCTAGTATCGTGACTGAATTATATTTGCTTCAAGTTTATCTCCTTGAATATGAACCCATAGGTCCTCACCTAAGATGCACCTTTTACATCCTCATGTAAAAGGTACATCTTTGTAAAGCTGAGTAGAGGCTTACTCTGACTTATATCATCTGCTATTTAACAAATATATACTAATACACATCTTATTTAAATTAATCACGAATCGTTATCCATAAATAAAAAAGTAAAAGCTTGTTAGAATAACATCACGAGTGTACCTACTTCTAATATTTTGACGACTAAAGGTCAACAGTAAATAAGTTGGAATAGTGCAAAGCCTCGGTTAATGGAAGTTGAGTTCAACAATTCAACTTCAACACATCCAAAGGAATTATTATAAGCCGTAGTAGTCGCCCATAAGAGAAATGCCGCCGTACTTTATCAAATTTTTAAGACTATTTAAGATTTTACAATTAATTAACGATAATATTTAAGCAGTGCTATGTATGACCGTAGACTATTAATGTAAACAACGAAAGTGTTGTTATATATTTCATCATATGTAATTATAATATAAATTGTTATAATTTATACATTATTATACATATCAGTTTGTAAGATACATCTCGTGTATCTTACAAACTACCAACGGCTAGAGACAACAACTTCATGTTTTGATCATAATGAACAGTTTTTGCAATAATAAGACGATTACGGTTAAAAAAACGCTTTATATTCGAGTGTAAGACGTAAAGTTCTTTAATTTTGACAAAACCACACAAGTGAAAGTCCCAAACTAAGCAACTCTTAATACCAGAAAACTGATAAACACACGTTTCCATGTAAATTAATAAATATTGTAGAGATACAAACACCCAGACACTGGAAAAACACTACATCACACAATATTTTTCCAGTGGTGGGGATCCAACCCACACTCTCAGGAGCTAGAGGTAGGCCTATTAAGCCAATCGGGATGATATTAGATTTATTATGCTGCTCTCGCTTAATCTGGTGCATCGATGTAAGGTACACGAGGGATAAAGCACAACGTACGTACGTTATTATAAAAATGGATCCGTTAAATTTGTGGCTGCACTTCATGGGCGTTGTAAAAAGAAAAAAAAATTGTCAGAAATAATAACAGTCAATTCTTGATTCTGATAATGGTTCTATACAGCGCCAGTTCTATACAGTTCTAGAACAATCACCAACAATGCCCTTAGAATTATTTTGTTGGATTGACATCGCCGTTAATAACAAGTGAATATAGTTCCCATAAGTAAGAGCCTCTTACGACATTAAGTAAAGTAACAGCCTATACATGTCCCACTGCTGGGCAAAGGACTCCTCTATACAGAGGGTATCAGGGCATAGTCCACCACGCGGCCCCACTGCGGATTGGCGGACTTCACATATCTTCGAAATATATATTTTTTTGTTATTATTTCGAAAATATGCAGATTTCCTCACGATGTTTTCCTTCACCGCGGAGCACGTGATAAGTCAGCACTTAAAGTTAAAAACCTCATTGGTGCCGGCACGGGGGATCGAACTCAGGTTGTTCGAGTATATTGAATTAAAGGCGAGCGAAATTATGCTCGGAAAATACCTATTTTAGTACCAATAGCGTGATAAATTTTAATAGTGCGTGAAACGACCGAATGCCCGAAATGCTTTCGTGTATACGAAAATCGAAATGCTTTCACGGCCGAAATCCCGTGGTTACGCAAATATCTGACGTGCCTAGTAATGTGAACGATATTGCTCGCACTTGTATAAAATGTTAGCTACGTACGGGTAGGCAGTTTAAATGCCACCATGATAGATGATATCTATACATTACTATACTTTAAATGTTATTATTTTCACATTTTTTACGTGTCAGCGAGCTGGCGGTTAACCTGATGTTAAGTGATAACCGCCGCCATTGAAATTTGTAACACTTGGTTGTACATGCTTTACCACTTTTTAATAAAGGGGGCCCCGGCTACCTCACTCACCAGACGCAAAGCAGAACTATATAACTTCTACTTCACGCCGGTCTTCTCTGAGGTCGTGGTACTTCCTCGGACGTACCTGCTCATTCGTCCATTCGAATTTATATACAGCGGCATGCTCTAATAATTTCGAATTTCTTACGAATTAGGTACATCGATGCCTCACAAGCGCGGCAAGTGCGGCGACAGACTCGCCACTTGTCGTCTACCGAGACTTGAAAACTCGTAAATAATTGGATGGCATCGACTGACTATTTCGTTTAATATGTTAAGTTGTGCTCGTATCATCTTTATATATATATGTATATAAGTCTTCTGCACGTGTGTATGTCACTGAACTCCTAAACGGCTGGACCGATTTTAATGAAAAATTTTCTGTCTTCAAGTCGCTTCGAGAATAGTTTAGATTCACATGTCGGAACACTACAACTTTTTATTTTTTTTATTCATAAGTTGTCGGATTTAAGTCGTGTGTACAGGGCAACGTCTGTGGCGTCCGCTAAAAAAGTATAAAATTTAAAGTCAATAACATGGAATAATGAACATCCTTTCGTAATGAATATTATCTGAATGAATTCTTAAATATCATGATTTACGAACTCCACTTCGTATGATGTGTAAATATAATGGATATACCTAAAAAGAAGGTTTTTGTCTATGTTTCGGTTCTTGGTATATGGATATAGTAAATCATATCAAAAAGAAGTTCTATGTCGGGCGTTTTTGGTTTCTGGTTAATGGAGATGCATGACGAATGCTTTTTGCATTATACAGCAATAAAATACACGGTACAATGGCTCCTCATTAGCGGGCAAAAAACTAGTTTCACTCCGCATATTAATGTTTCCGGGTGTTTACGAAACAAAAAACTCGGTATCTGTGGTCGAGAGTGAAATCCCCGTATATCTCCAATACGTGGCTTAAGCGGGAATAAGTTTTAGGCACAGCTTTAAGCACGCACTAACCTTTCCGTGGAGTTATAGAACATAGCCGCCTGTCGTTTCAGATCATCGCTCACCGTGTTCTCCTCAGGCATTTTACGAGCACTCGCGAGCAGTCACGACACAACCTTTCCGGGACCCGCTCAAAGGGAATCCGATCTACGGGCGAGGGGACAGAGCGTATTTTCGCAAGACAGCCGCGACTAACGAGTGTGACGCCCGCGCCTCTCACTCGCTGCAAACGACTGATGACCGACTCACGCGACCGTAGCCCCCACTGCGGGTGTGTTTACATTGCGACGGGCGACACGTGAACCAGTTGCCGCGGCGAATTGCAACAATGGGAACGCGCGACGAGGCGACTGGCCCGATGTTGATAACGGCGGCTCGCAATGGCATAGGGGCCGAGACGTTCGTTTTGGCGGAAAATCGGCGTTGGCAGTGCGCAAACTATTCACTGAATTTATAAACATTGCCGCACTGACAGTTACTGCATGGCAGTCGTCTTTATTGACTTCTCCGCGGCGGTTCGTGGGTTCCATTTTGAACAAGTACTTTTCGAGCCGTGACAGCTCGCATTTAATTCAACGAACTCGAGCAACCCGAGTTCGATCCCCGGTGGCGACACCAATGAAACTGTTAATTTTAAGTGCCGACTTATCACGTGCTAAAATAAATGGTCAATAAAATATCCTGGCTTAAAAATGAAGGCAAACAGCGCATGGAATTGGTAAAAGCTCTTAAAAATAGGAATAAATGAGAATACGCGTCCCTCAACAATAACTTTATGCTGTATTATTATTTTGTTATGAATTTTATTTACTTAAAAATTTTGCGCAGGCTAAATCTAAATTGCAAATTACATTACAAATATGATCACTAACATTATTCTAATGTAGGTTAATCTGTGTCATAAAAGCAATTACAAAAAAAGTAATAAAAAGAATAAAACCGCAGTTTCTTGCCGGTTCTTCTCTGTGCAGGTCTAGTTTAGTGAACCGGTGGAGATTTTTTGTTGACGTTCAATAAGAGCTTAAGTTAGGCCTATATTGAATAAATATACTTTGACTTTGACTGTGAATTTACAAGCAAGTCGCAGTATGTAGTTCTCTCGACGTCCGAATAGAACCTGCAACCAATTGTTATGGCCCAGCAATTACTGTGCTAATCTAATCAAACATAGTAAATCAACCAATTACACGATTTTATCGTTCCGCATACCCTACCATAGGTATCTGCGTAGCTAGAAGTAAAATAACAAAACTTAGTAAGGTAGTTTTGTGGCCTTTGTATTGTGATAAGAGCTCTTTATTCGCATGGTAAATTTACATAAATTATAATGTGTATTTACACACTGTGTGTGTTATGTGTATTTAATCTTCTTATGTATAAAAATAGATTGCTGTTCGTTAGTCTCGCTAAAACTCGAGAACGGCTGGACCGATTTGGCTAATTTTGGTTTCGAAAGATTTGTGGCAGTGCAGTGAAGGTCTAAACGCTGAAAAAATGTGGAAAAATTGCATGGAAAATCGAATTAGCAACAATTTTATTTTCCCATACAAACTGTACCTGTCAACACGTCAACTATGCCGGTGTAACCTGTCAAAGGATTTTTAAATGCGTTCCTCTAGAAATAATTTATATGGCAAATAACGTTTGAAAGCGCGTAAAAACGTTTGCCGAGTCAGCTAGTTATTATTATAAATGTCTTTACAAAGGAATCTAGTCCAATGGTGTCCAACATAAATAAAATGACGACTTAATTTTCTTGTACTAACTAATTCACTTTTATTATTGTCACAAAATTTTGTGTTCGACCTTTCCGTTTTAAAATTTTAGTTGCTTTGTGTTGCGTTAAGTAAAACATAAGTGCATATGCTTAAAATGCTTGGAAAATAATAAATATCAATGCCGACAATATTAGCTATTTATGTGTAGGCATGTTTTCTATATAAATAAAAATAAATATTTCGGACACATTTCTTACACAACTTTCTCTAGTCCCAAACTAAGCAACGCTTGTACTATGGGTACTAGAAAACTGATAAACCTACTTAAACATACTTTTCTTTTGTAAATAAATACATATTATACATATATAAACACCCAGACACTGGAAAAACACGATGTTCATCACACAATATTTTTCCAGTAGTGTGGATCGAACCCCACACCCTCTGGAGCAGGAGGCATGGTTACTACTCCCCACGCCAATTGGGTCGCCAAATATAAATAATGGGTCTTGAAATAGATCACTATCTGTAGATTCACGCAACAGGTTCTGCTGTTACAGGAATTGGTAGGCTCATCGGAGAACCACCACGTCATCACAGAAGACCGACGTGACATGGGCTTTATACTTTCGCGTTTCGTCTGGTCGGGAAAATCTTTAAAAAGTAGTCGACACATCGAAAAAGTTCTCAGTTTTTGTAAATGTTCATGGCGGTGTTTACTTAACATCAGGTGAACGACCTGCTTGCTCGCTTGGCAACTATTCACACAATAAAATGAAAAAAAAAACTGGAATATGTACCCATTTGGTCAACATAAATATGCAAGTACAAAATCTTTGTGGACCTTTATTACATATTAAAAATTTGATACAATACTTTTATATTTGTGTTAACTATCTGTTTCTTTGTTATACTGAATGTTACAAAGAAAAACGAACATAAATAATGGCACTACCATAGAGTCAAAATTCGAGCTAACAGCGCTAATTCGGTGTACCGCTACGTACACTAAGGAAGCAATGTTTGTTTTTTACATGTCCAACATTCATTGAAATACTGAATAACAGTGACTAAAATTTCATACACCATCTATTTATGCAGATTTTACAGTTATAAGTTCAAAGCATAACTGGTTAAAAACTTATTATGTTATTTCTTTATTAGTTTAAGTTTTAGTTTTATAATAAATATTACTAAATATCTATAATCTATCAAAATATATTTGCATTTAAGTAAATTATTAGAAACCCATTTAATTGTTTTTGTTGATTGTCTTTTACTAAGAGACTTTTGTTCAAAACCTTTGTCAACCGCATTTTGTGCATATGTATAAAAATTGATAAAAAAGCATAACTTTATCAATGTCAATGTTTACTTAATTATTATATTTTTACGTTTTTTATAAGTAACTGTTTGTTTCACCCAGTATAGCTAGTACAATGGTACACTTTCCAGGCAGTACGCATTCCAGGGTAGTTCATACAAACCTCAGCCTCTGATTAATACAATCAACAGCCATCAGAGGTCATATATTATATTTCTCCCATACATACATAACAAGTTTGTTATAAGATTCCGACTGCAAGATGTAAATCCTTACTAATATTATAAAGGCGAAAGTTTGTATGTATGGATGGGTGTTTGTTACTCTTTCACACAAATACAACTGAATGGTTTCTAATGAAACTTTACAATAATATAGCTTATACATCAGAATAACACATAATTTATATACACATTTTTATTGATATTTGTCCTTCTGTTTGAATGTTACACCTTCAGCCTATTCTATGCAGACATAGTCGCGGGCAGCAGCTAGTATTCTATATTCAAAAAGGTTTTTGTCCAACAGTGGACATCTTTCAACTGATGATGATGAAGATGTGCACATATTTCATTCACTTATCAGAAAAGTGTGCAAAAATATCATACTGCTTATGTTATTTTTGTACACTTCTTAGATTTATTTTAGAGCGACTCACTATGTAATAAGCAATAACAAATCTTATATCTCTAACAATATATTACCCTTATGTTTAAATTTTCTGCTGTTCTCTTTCTTTTAGAAATTGGTTTGAGAGGTGTACTGTGTACTGCCACCCATGGACAACTACAACTTCTTTGGAGTTGGCAGATTCATTACATACTTAGAACAAATTCGAACCTCCCTCAAGACAAAATTCTTTTTGCTTGTTAATACTTTTGATTCACATTGCTATACTAGACGGTTCTCCCCCATGAGCTTGTCCATTCATACAAGACCAGAAACTGCTGCTGGCCCCTATCTGATGATGATAATCTGAAATTATAGTAAATATAATACAAGTTGTAGGTACATAAATAACCCAAAAAGTTGCATGGCCCTACCATGTTAAAAATGGTTTATTTATGTTGTAAAACTAGTGTTTATCGTACTTCTAGTGATTCTCAACCACTGTGCCGCGGCACTTTTGTGTGCCGCCAAATTTCAAAAGTGTGCCGCCAAATTTTGCAAATATATAATAATGTTAATATTATTAAATTATATCATTTACAAAGAAAACTATTGTTTGGCATTAGCTAACATTAAAACTAAAAAAAGATCAAGATTGTTAAATGTAGAAGACGATATGAGAGTAGCATTGTCATTTTTACGACCAAATATAAATGAAATTATCAAAAAATATCAAGCTCAAATTTCGCATTAAAAATATTTTTATTATTAGCTTGTAATTAATCCCTTAATAAACGTTTAGTTATTATTGTAATATATATTAGTTTATTTCGTATATTTAAAATTTTTATCATAAACTATTTATGTAGTGTGTTGTAGTAAGTAAATAATTTTCTTTGTGTGCCGCCAAATTTTGAAATCGTTTAATATGTGCCGCAACAAAAAAAAAGGTTGAGAATCACTGTTCTAATGTATTAGATAGTCAGTCTGTTGAGAAAAATGATGGACCATAAAACTTTAAAAAACTATTGTAATAGAGGTAAAATATACATAGAGTATTAGAGGTATCATGGTGACAAAGATCTAAATTTAATAGATATAAATTAGTTGGGCCATATAGGAAACTATAATAATTATGGTCCAACTTATAGGTGCTGCCCGTGACTATGTCTGCGTAGAGAGGTGAAAATTGAGGGTTATATGTATTTTTGTATGCTGTATCATATAAAAATAAAACAATTTTATATAAAAAATAAAAAAAAATTTAGGGGTGGACCACCCTTAACATTTAGGGGGACGAAAAATAGATGTTGTCCGATTCTCCACCGTGGCCGATATGCACACAAAATTTCACGAAAATCGATCGAGCCGTTTCGGAGGAGTTCAATTACAAACACCGTGACACGAGAATTTTATATATTAGATAAAA